GGGGGGTGGTGGTGGAGGTGGGCAAGTGGGGGGGCGCAGAAAGTCTGCACGGCTTGTGGAGGTCAAACGTAATGGGATTTTCATCTGTGGCTCCCCAGCTCTGTATAAAAGAAAAAGGCAGGGCTTTTTTCTGGTGAACCTGCCATTTCTGTGAAATCTCAGGTGATGGGGGGATGCAGGACGTAGCAGCAGGGTAGCCCAGACGTGGTGCACGCCATCTCCGTGCCGGCAGTCCGGCTGTGTGCGACAGAGAGCCAGCGCCACAGCTCCCATCCTGCTCGCATCCCCTTTTGGGAGCCGGGATACTCACCATACGTTGCGCCCCCACATTTGTGACCCTCTGTCTCTTCCTTTGCAGGTGTACCGTGGATGACAGGGTCACACGAGTAGCGTGGTTGAACCGCAGCACCATCCTGTACGCCGGCAATGACAAGTGGTCTATAGACAACCGCGTGGTCATCCTTTCCAACACCAAGACCCAGTACAGCATCAAGATACACAACGTGGACGTCTACGATGAGGGCCCCTACACCTGCTCCGTGCAGACAGACAATCACCCCAAGACTTCGCGCGTCCATCTCATTGTGCAAGGTAGGTCTTAACATACTGTTGCCAAACTGACCGTTGGATATGGAAGGATGTCTGGATTTGTGAAGAGTTTGGAGGCCGCCTTGGTGATGGAGATGTAGGGATCAGACCAACATCATGCTTTGGGGGTTGAGCCGCTTGGGGACAGGGGTGTTGACAACTGCCTGCCATGACGGGGAGGAGATGGACTTGCGTCATCTCAGCCTCGTTGTGTTGTATGGTCATCACGTGGGGCAGAGGACACCAGGGAACTGAAATTGGAGCTGGCGTCCTCCTCCTTCTCCCCCCTTGCCTGTGCCTGCTGTGAATTTGACCCATCCCTGCTGCTCGGCACCCACATTGCTCGGCTCGCTGTGTCGGGGAGTCGTTAGTAAGGTGCTCGGGCACGCGTCCGAAGATGCTTCGGGAGAGCCGAAAGCAAAGCGCTGCCAGGTGTGGTGGAGGAGCGGACTCCAACAGCACGAGGCTCCTTGGTTTTGGGAGAGAGGGCAGAGCGCGTGAGCCTGTTGAAGTCACTGCAGGGCCACGAAGGGCTGTTGGCGCAGGGCTTTGTAGGGGAGTGTGTCAGCGTAGCAGATGCTGTTGGGTTGCAAAGCATCGTTCCTGAGGCTGCTCTGACCTGGGGATCCAGGTGCCGGCAGATCAGAGGTGCCCGTAGCACCAGTGGACGCCACCTTTGGATCCTTGCGGCTTTGCACCAGCTACAGGCTTTTGTCTGGTCTCTAGATTAATTTTTCAGAGTTAGTGTTAGTTCAGGTTAGATAAAGATAATGAAAGTTTCCTAATCCTCTTAAAGAAGATTTATCCGGCTGAGTAGAAAGCTCTCGGAATACAATAAAGCGTGTATAAAACCAGGACCTAATCTTTCCTTTAATTTCAAACAGCTGATGGGTATTGATTTTGCAATGAGCAAATCTGAAAAATTTCTCAGCCTCGACATGTCTCCGAGAAGCCCCCAGCACGGATATGTATGTATTTATGTATCCTTCTCATTTGGAGGAGGCAGGGTTTGATTGCGGCCACCCGTCCAAGTGATTTTCCTGCCAGGTCTCGGCGGGAGCGTGTCGGGGGGCCCCACACTGGGCAGCGCTTGCCTTGGGAAGAGGGAAGCGGAGGACCCTCGGGAGCATCCCCTCCATCCCCTTTTGCGGGGCCCCTCTCCCCCTTTTTGAGTTGTGTGTGAGCTGTCCATCTGCAAAGCTTAATCTGTTTATCCTGTCTGCTCTCTAATCGTGCTAATCCATCCAGTCAACACCAGTGAAGTATCTGAGTGCTTTGCACCTAATGAAATCAGGCGAACCGGCAGCAACGCTCAGCGCCCGGTCCCCTCGCCCCTTTTTCGGAGCGGGGTCTGCGACGTAGGCGCTTGCCAGGCTTGGGCGGGCGAAGGCAAGGGATAGTTTGCATCCAGAGCGATGGTCTGGCGGCAAGGTGTCCTGGGAAAACTTTTCATCCAGCATAAGCAAGCCATGTTGAATTGCTCCCACCGCAGCAATGGCTGTGGTTGTCAGCTGTGCTGCATCTCTGCAGCTGCAGGGAAGCCTGAGAGGAGCTGGGGACGTACGGTTACGCAGGCTGAGCTCAAGTAGACCATGCTCAGAAGTTTCTGTATTTCTCTCTTAGCTTCTGCTAAGCTCAAGCCACACGGTTTGCCTCAGTTGTTATGCCAAGAAAATCCATCCGTAGATGCTACCTTGCTGTCCCGTTGATGGTGGTGTCCAGAAAAGCAAATCCTTCCTTGTTCTGTTCTCACTTCACCTCCAGCGCAGTTGTCTGCTGCCTAAAACGTGCTTTCCAGTGGCTCGGAGCGAGTGGTGTTGCCCACCAGCACAGCCGGCGCAGCCAAGGGCTGTTAGCCTCCATGCTTGCATGCCGGGGAAGAACCGGTTTTCTACAAGGGTGAATAACACATAGCCCTTTGTTCTGTGCTGGGAGGAAGGGAGCGGTTTTCCAAGGGTGCATTCGGTCCTGGCTGTGCATGCAAGCAGAGCACACGCTTTGCAGGGAAGGAGCGAAGCCCTGTTTCTGTGGTAGCCCTCCTGGCCTTAAATATTGGCTTAAAAATGAGGTTTGGGGTCTTCCTTCATCAAGGAGGCAGCCATCCCAGCAGCAAGGGCAGGAGGACCACAGGGGATGGCCATGCACGCCCTGGCGTCATGCCTCACCCGTGCCAGCTGGCCAGCGAGCAGGCAGTAATGACCGGTTAGCAAGCGTGTTCAGGTCAATTAATTTATATTTGTATTTTGCAAAACTAAAAGTTGGCCGGATAAAGTATTGATTCTTTTTCCCTGTATTCAATTGGGTTTTAATTGTGCTACTGCAGGGCCCGGCCTTCCCTCTTAGCAACATGGCGATAAATCTGCCAGGGAGTCGCAGTCAACAGTAAATGTGTCTCTTAGTGTCGTTATTAATACGTCTCTTGGATTGGTTCATTGCAACAGCCATTAACAAGGGTTTATAAGAGTGCAGGTGGCAGGAAGCCAGAGGGTTTTTTTGTCTCCCTTTTCCTCTTTTTTTTTGGGGCGTCACCTGGTGACGATGGGACGGATGGTTTTAGGGACATGCACGGTGCTCGCAGCATGCTGGCGTGCCATGGGGAGAGTTACGAATGTAGAGAGAACTGGCATTTAATCTCGTGTAAGTAGAAGATGAGCCACCTCATCCTCCTCTTGCCATAAACAGCTTGAGCGGAGGATGCCACGGGGCTGGACCTCGGGTCAGCCCTCCTGCCTCCACGTATGACCCCCCGCGAAGCCCACCTCAGCTCCCAGGAGGTGCAAGCCTGCAGGGACAAGCCGGGAGACCTTACCACATCGTGCTGCAAAACGGTTTCGGTGCAAGGAGCGTGGTAGCCTGTAGCTCGGGCTCAGCCCGTGCCTCCTTGGTGTGGGCCATTTCAGGACACAGGGTATATTTCAGTCTGAAAAGCGGAGCTCAGGGTCAGTGTTTTGGCCAAGTCTGTGGCTCTTGCAGTCAGTGCCCCAGGAAAGAGAAAGCCTGGCGTCCTCCTCATAGGAGCGGCTGTAGAGAGGAGGGTGTACGTGCCGAGGCAGTGTAGCGAAGCATGGTGTCACTTTGGGATCTGCACGCCACGCGGTACCCTGTCTGGCGGAGATCTCGGTGGTGGATGTCGATACTGGCCGTCGCTTTGGTATTCCTCAGGTGTCCACTGTTTCTGATTTATTTAGAGAACCCTTCTCTGTACTGCCTTAATTCTACTCGCCATAGATTTTTCATTAAAACCTCTCCCGGCTGTCGGCATTGTTACTGTTAGTTTCTGGTTGGCGCAATCCATTTTCCCGTCTCGGCATTTGCTGCTTTGCCAGGGCAGGTTTCGAAGGACCGTGGCCTTCGTTCACAGTAGCGAGGCTGTGGTCGTGCAGTTGGTTTTCTAATGCACGTAAGGGTGCTCTCCTGGAGCCGGTCCTGGGTCCATTGTCGCATCTGCCGCCTCTCAAAGTGGCACCGCCGCACGTGTAGCTCTTCAGCAAGTGTCTCGAAAGCAAATTGAGTCTTTATTTTTTTCCTTTTTACTGATAACAACTGGCTCCTTGAGTCTCCAAAAGGGCAACCCCCCCCCCCCCCCCCCCCCCCTGCCCAAAAAAACCCCCCCCCGCCGCCCCATGCTGGCCCTGTTGAGCTCTTCTTCCCTGACGCAGATCGTGCTCTGGGCTCCCCCTTGGCACCACAGATTTCACGACGGCTGCAGTTAAGCTTGCTTTTATCATGCTACCTTTGATATCCAGGCAGGAGCTGAGACTGCGATACTTATTAAAACCTTACCAGGAGGCTGCATGGTGTACGATGAGGCGAGGGGAGCAGCTCAGCCTTCTTTGGTCGTCGTAGGAAAGACCTGATAATAGGCTCTAAACGTAGAAAGTGCTTAGTATTTAGACGCTGGAGAGTTTGGCGTAAGGGGCGTGTACGTGGTGTACAGAAGCAGATGCAGCTCAGCCCGGAGGAAAGGGTGAGAGGCAGCAATGCAGGCTGCGACCTCTGGAGCAGGCTCGCCTCCCTGCTCTGGAGATTCATCTGCACTTGGGATACCTTACCAGGTGGTTTGGGTTTTTTTTGTCTACTTAAGAAACAAGATGATAGTGAGGAAAAGAGATGATGTGCAGTAAATGTGGTGCAAAAAGTCCGATACAAAATGTTGGCAGAGGTTTCTGTTGCTTCATGTAGCATGCTGGACTGGCAAGATTTGACATACATCTTGGACTGCAGGAATGGCGAAGGTGGTTCTTGGGGCTTGGGGCACATCTCTGTCTTGCTGGGTGACACACGGTGTCCAAAGCAAAGTGTTCATTGCTTGCCCATCCTGTACATGCCACTTATTATGGTGATGGGGGGGGTTGACTGCCCTCCATTCTGCCGGGAGCAGTGATAGGGTGTCCCAGGAGGAATGCAGCTCCTCGCACCGAGGTCGCAAAAGGCTGAGGGCTCGGTCCAGGTCTTCCGTACCTGCCTGAGCTCATCTCTTGGCGTTTTTGGAACAAGTGCAGAAATATTACTGGGTGGTGGCTGAGATCTCCAGCTGGGGTGGCAAGGCCGCAGGTGGAGGAGACTCCCTCGCATGTGTCTTGGCTGCTCATGAGGTTGGGAGGCAAAGGGGCCGGTGACATTTGGATGGGTGCTGTATCCGAGCACGTCTTCCTCTTTGCCGCACCTCTGGGTCTAATCAAGTGTTTTGTTGATGACGCTGTTGGGAGGCTCAGCTCTGGCTAGCCCTTACTGCACCGGGTTAATCGTCCCGGCGGGGACGAGTGGAATGGTTAATTGAAGCAGGAAACTCTCCCGGAGGTTGGGCTCGTAGCGGTGGGGATGGAGTGCAGGGAAATAAAAAGGAAATCAAAGGGCTGTTAAGAGGAAATGGAAAAAAAACACTTAGGCTGGAAAGACGTCTTCCCAGCAGGAGCGAAAGCCCAAAACACGTAATGTCCGTGGCGTTTGAAGTCATGTTTCACACTTCCTTCTCTGGGCGTATGTGAGCGGGCGGGGCCCAA